TGGGAACTGGCTGGTCTATGATGGCCTCATGAGATGACCCTTCTCCGAATATTCCTCAAATTCCTTTATTATGCTAATCAGGGCATGATCTCTGTGGTGGAATAGTTCAGGAAAGAATGTGAAAATGCACAAGCACTTTTCAAGCCACAATTTTTGTCAATTTTGTTACCATACCCTTGGCCAAAGAAGTCACATGGCCAAGCTCAGAGTTAATGTGTGATATGCCAAGGGGTGCAGATGTGGAGAGGTGTGGAAAATTGGAGCCATTAATGCCATTAAGCTAATGCAGACCTCTCTAGTAACTACAGTCTTGTATCTGGTGGTTGCCTCCCACACGCTTTCTGACCAGAAGCAAACCGCAACCCAGGTATGTGCCCTTGATGGGGAATTGAACCCAAGACCCTCAGTGCATGGGTCAACATTCTAAGCACTGAGCAACACCAGCCAGGGAAAAATGCTTGTTTTAATTTACATGTCTCTATTCCTAGTGAATTTGAGTGTTTCCTTATACATCTTAGCCATTTGAATATCCCTTTCTGTAAATCTGCTTTTTCTGAAAATCATATTCCTTGACCAGTTGGGGAGCAACTTATTTTCTCATTCTTATTTCCTTGGCAGAAAGTACTTATATATTCTGTCCATTGAGCACTTGTCAGTTTTAGGTGTTGAAATATTTTATTTGTAAATCTGTCATTCTTCTGCTAACTTTGCCTCTATCTGCTGTTATTAAATTTTAATGTAGTCAAATTTGTCAACTTTTCAATTTATCACCATTGGCAAAGTCACAAAGTTGGATGCTTAATTCATATATTTTATTCTTTCTTCATTACTAACAGAAGTATCTAAGATTTCAAATCTTAAATTTACAATCCTATGTTAGTAGTTTTTACCCTGTCGGATCCTATAATTACTTGTTTATGTATGCTTCTTTAAAATATGAGGTAAAATTCCTGTAACATAAAATTATCTATTTTACAGGGTAAATTTCCATGGCATTTAGTGCATTTACAATGTTATGTGACTACCACCTCTATCAAGTTCCAAAACATTTTCACCTCAAAAGAAAACCCCATGCCCGTTAGGTAATCACTTCCCATTTCTCCCCTCAGATCATGGTTCTCACTAACCAGTCTCTATGGATGTATCTGTTCTAGATATTTCATGTAAATAGGATCATACAACATGTGGCCTTTTGTGGCTCTCTTTTACTTAGTATAATGTTTTCAAGATTTATCCATGTTTTAGCATAAGATTTTTATCTGATGTCTGAATATTATTCCATCGTTTAGATATATTACATTTTGTTTATTTATTTGTTGATGGACATATGAGTTTTTTCTACCTTTGGCTATTGGCAACTGTGAGTAGTGCTGTTGTAAGCCTTAATGTACAGTATTTATTTGAGTACCTGGGTTTAATTCTTTTAGGTATATATCTTGGAGTAGAATTAGTAGGTTATCAGTTACTAGAGGCCCGGCGCACGAAATCATGCACACGTACGGTCCCTAGGCCTGGCCTGTGATCAGGGCCATCTTCCCCGGCTGCCTACAGTCGGCCCCGCCCCCTGCTGTCACCCACCCCACTTCCCTGTTTGCCATTGGGTGATCAGAGCCTGCCGGCTGGGGAAAGGGACTGAGAGGTGGTCAGTGTATCTCATAGTGAGTGGTCCAGTGGTCGTTCTGGTCGTCCTGCTGTCAGGGTCAATTTGCGTATTACCCTTTTATTATATAGGAAGGAATAGAGGCCCAGGGCGAGGGGCCGCAGGCAGTTTGCAGGCCAGCCACACTCCCAATCCGGGTGGGGGTCCCCGCTGGGGGCAGGGCCGGCCGGGGCAAGGGGCCATGGTCATTCTGGTCTCTGATCATTCTGGTTGTTCTGCCGTTTTGGTCTCTGGACTTTTGTTATATAGGATTCTTTATTTTATAAGGAACCACCAAAATTGTTATACCAAGTAATGCACCATTTTACATTTCTAGTGTCATTCTATCCTAGTCAAAAAAAGATAATTTGTATGATTTCAATCGTTTAAACTTATTGAAACTTGTACTCTGTCCTAGCATGTGGTCTACCCTGGACAGTCAAGTTCCATGTGCACTTGAGAAGAGTGTGCAGCCTGCTGTTGTTAGGTGGAGTCTACCATTTTAAAGTTTCCTCTTGATTCAGCATTTGTTTGGTTACTATAAACCTTTGACTATTTGAGTTCCTATAGTTGATTCTGATAGTTTTAACTGATCATTTTGGTTTTTTTCTGTGGAGGGATAGACCTTCAGAACTACCTATCCTACCATTTTTGCTGGCACGACTCTCAGCAAGTATTTCTTTTTTTTTAATGTTTATATGAAATGCATTTTTTTTTGTCTAAAGTTTTACATATGTCTCCTTTTTCCCCAATTGACCCCCCCCCCCAGCCATTTCCACCCCAGGCAAGCCCCCACCACCCCAGTGTCTGTGTCCATTGGTTATGCTAATATGCATGCATATAAGTCCTTTAGTTGCTCTCTAACCCCCCCTCACCCCTATCATTTGTCTCTAGATCAATCTATTCTTGTTCATAAAATTATGTTGATCATTATATCCCACATATGAGTGAGATCATGTGATATTTATCTTTCTCCTACTGGCTTATTTCATCTTTCTCCTACTGGCTTATTAGCATAGAGCAATTACTTCTTAAAACAAATGTTTTATCATTTCCCTTTAATATCCTGAAATAAAATATATTGGTAATATAACTTAATACACACAGTTTTTTAAAAATCAATGTAATACATGAATTGTAATATAAATGAGAAATAAAGGAAGCAATTCATAAAAAAGCAGTATGAATTTCAGTATGTAAAATATTACACATGACACTGGAAGACATAATGAAGTACCGATGTGTTTGTATCTATTTAAATATAAGTTAGCCTTGGCTGGTGTGGCTCAGTTGGTTAGGCGTTGTCCTGTGCACCAAGAGGTTGCCAGTTCGATTCCAGGTCAAGGCACATGCCCGGTTGCAGGCTCGATCCCCAGTAGGAGGTGTGCAGGAGGCAGCTGATCTCACATTGATGTCTGTCTGTTTCTCACTGACTCTCCCTCCCTAGTCTCCCTCTCCCTCTCAAAAAAAGGTTAATAAATATGTTAGATTTAAGAGATGTAAAAAGGTCAGATTCCATTTTGTACAAATGCTAATAATGAAAGGCTAAAATCTAGTCATAAAAAACTAGACTTTTTGTATCTACAATAAAAGAGAAATTGGAATAAAATTTCAATACAAATTATAGGCTAAACAGATGAAGGAAAGGAGAAAGTATAATCTATACTTTCTCATATAATATAGCCTTATTTGAAAAATAATTATTAGTAAATAGTGAAGAAATATCAGAGAACATATCTTTTTTTGAAATTCTAACACATGTTAGGTCAAATAGTTTAGTTTTGAGTATTTAAGTCCTTAGAAACAATATTCTTTCAGTGATGATGGGATTTAAAGATGGATTTTTAAAAAGCAACAATAGCCCTAGCTGGTTTGGTTCAGTGGATAGAGCATCAGCCTGCAGACTGAAGAGTCCCAGGTTTGATTCTGGTCAAGGGCACGTACCTCGGTTACAGGCTCAGGTGGGGGTGAGTGTGGAAGGCAACCAATTGATGTGTCTCTTTCACATCGATGTTTCTCTCTCTGTGTCTCTCCCCCTCCCTTCCACTCTCTCTAAAAAAAAATTTTTTTAAAAATCAATGGAAAAATGTTCTTAAATGAGGATTAATAATAACAACAACAAATAGGATACTGGAAACCTATATAATTTTGTTAATGAATGTCACCTCCATAAATTTAATAAAAAAATAAACTGATAAATATTAGAAAAAATATATAAAATTTGGTACATTTAATATCATTATGTAATCATTATTTAAAAAGCAATGATAGGACATTTAAAACCAATATCAAAGTAGGATTGAAAAATAATAGGCAGCTACAGAATAAGAGAATTATTTCAATTGGTAATTTTTATACTAGATTTCTCATTAATACACATTCATACCTATACATGATATGTAACATGATATGTAGTATTTTTGGAACAACCAGTGGGATTGAATAAGATACCTTCATTCCATGTGTTTCTATAATTCTCTTCAAAGGAGTCTTCCATCCTCTATTGTATATTTAAAATTGACTTTGTTACTTTTATAATAACTGCACCATTGCAATAAAACATTTTCAAATAAATGCACAACTTGAAATACAAAGGTTGATAAATTAGTTAGAATTGTGTTAGAATTTTTTCTTTCCAAAAAATTAGGTATAATAGTCATCACTTGATCCAGAAGCTTTGTTGATTATACTATTTAAATTGTGTTTGAACTCTAAATAATTTTTTTACCTTGACTGTTATAAATGTTGGCTAGCTTGTTAGCTACCCATTTCAAATGGAATAATGACCCTAAATATTTTTAAATCTAATTATTTATCATGTCTTTTAAAGATAGGGTTCTGCTCTTCTTACCTCCAAGTAGTGGAGAAAATTAAATGAAATAATGTGTTTAAAAGTTTATAATGTGTTTATTAAAATCTGTATTAAGAGCATTATTATTAATAACTTAATAACAGTTCTAGAGACCATCCCCTTAAAAAATTAAATCTTAATCATGGGTCAAAATTTTAAGAGATTCTATAATTATTCATATTTAAAAATTTTAATTCAGAATCTCTTGCCTTGGTTTGCCCCTCAATCAGAAACACTTCAGGAGAAGTTTATTTTGTGACAAAAGTACTTTGTCCTTTGGTTGTTGTATGTTTTGAAAATATGGAGTAAACTTCATTGATTTAAGCATTTCCCAAGCAGACATTTTCTCTGTTAGGTATGTACTGAGAATGGTTTTTATTTTTATGAGCATGACCTGGCCTTACATTGTTTAATTGTGTTATGATTTTTAGTTGTGGCACATATATGTAAGTGTGAAAATCAGAGCAAAGCATGTAATAGCTTTTTGTGGCTTATGTTTTTCATTTGCAGCCTTCAAGCAAAGCAAAGGTACCTGAAGAGAATTTCTTTGATGTTCCTGCTTTCTTAACTGTCTCGGGACAACTTCACCTAGAAGTGATGTCAGGGTACAGAATTTTCTTTTCGCTTTTCTTTTAATGGACTACTGATTATGGGTTGGGTGGGAGTGAAATAATGCTTTCTTTCCCAATGTTAAAATCTAAAAATTGAAATCACTCCACTTGGATTCACCAAAAGTACATTTGGAATGACATGACAAATGTCATGTGTTTTTTTTTAGTAAGTTTCTTCAAAAAAAAAAAATCACGTTAGTCTAGACTTTTGTTTTTAGTGAAAAATGTAGCACTAGATATATGAAGTTGTGATTTTTTAAAATTTCACCAATCTTTTTTAAAAATAGTGAAAATTTAAATATAATTAATCATATTATGAAAATAAAGTTATAATTCCCACCCAAACCAGGAAATAGCCCATTTCATTAAAAAAACAAAGGTACTTGAAACAAATAGAAGAAAAATATTTTTAATAATTGGTTTACATAAGGAAGTTAACCCACAAAACCATTATGAGAGACATGTGACAAATTAGAAAGTCTTAGAAGGGCAGGTCATATTAATTTTAGCGATTCTCAAATCTCTGGAAAATCACTATACTCCTTTTGGCCCAACTTTCCTTTTCCTTAAAACGGAATTGGACAGAAAGATTTTTAAAGTTCTATCTAAGTCTTATATTCTGTGATTCTGTGAGTAATTTCTTAATGCTGATTCAACAAGTACTGGGTTTCTTTTAGATATCTTTGTTTTCTCATATAGAGCTTGAGGCTCAAAAATATCTTGAAGAGCCTGGCCAGTGTGGTTCAATGGTTGAACATCAACCATTGAATCAAGAGGTCACGGTTCGATTCCAGGTCAGGGCACATGCTGGGTTTCAGGCACAATCGCCAGTAGGGAGCATGTAGGAGGCAGCTGGTCAATGATTCTCTCTTATTGATGTTTCTATCCCTCCCTCCTTCTCTCTGAAATCAATAAAAACATATTTAAAAAAAAAAATCTCTTGAAGCCCTAGTTGGTTTGGTTCAGTGGATAGAGCCTTGGCCCGTGGACTGAAGAAATGGCTCCAGTGAAAACAAGGGACTCTTTATGTGTTTCCCATTGTTCTTAAAATGTACAGGTGGGGAAACTCGGGGGATATATAATAGATTAGTGTTCATGTTTATCTTGTTATATACTTTATTGTCAAGATGGAAAGTGGTGGAATAAAGATGGTCTTGAAAATAACATGTACTTTACTTAGATTCTTTTCTGATTTATCTTTGAGGCAGAAACAATTCAAATAATCAAATAATAGACAATATTATTAGAATACTGTACAGAAAAACTATCATCATATGGCCCCATAAGATTGTAGGATCTGCAGAGCTGTATGTGGGAAAGGCCTTGTCAGGAATGTCATGGAAAGTAACTTAACACCTATCAAAGTGTAATTTTTTGAAATTTTAATTTTTTAAATTTTATTTTCATTACCACCACCCTCTTTAGCAACCATCAGCCAAAATATAAAGAACATCTATAAGTCTGATTCTGTTTTGTTTATTTGTTTTGTGTGTTTTTTAGATTCCATGTATAAGTGAAATCATACAGTATTTGTCTTTCAAATTTTGACTTATTTCACTTACAAGCATAGTATCCTCTAGGTTTGGCCATGTTGTCCTAAAAGGCAATATTTCATTCTTTTTTATTGCTGAGTAATATTTCATTGTGTACATTAATAGTATATACCACCTCTTGTTTATCCATTCATCTCTGGATGGACAACTATGTTGCTTCCATATCTTGGCTATTACTAGTAATGCTGCAATGAACATAGGGGTACAAATATCTTTTCAAATTAGTGTTTTGTTTTCTTTGGATAAATACCCATCTGTGTAATTGCTGGGTCTAATGACAGGTCTGTTTTTAATTTTTCAAGGAATCTCCATACTGTTTTCCGTAGTAGCTGCACTAATTTACAGCCCTACCAACAGTGTCCAAGGGTTCCCTTTCTCACAATTGTTGCTTGTTGATTTATTGATGATAGCCATTCTGACAGATGTGAGGTTATATCTCATTGTGGTTTTAGTTTGCATTTCTTGATGACTAGTGATGTTGAGCATCTTTTCATATCTATTGGTCATCTGTATCTTCTCTTTGGAGAAATGTCTATTCAGTTCCTCTGCCTATTTTTTAATCAGATCATCTCATTTTTATTGTTGCTTTGGGCGTGGATTCTTTTGTGTGTGTTAGCTGTATGAGTTCTTTATATATTTTGGATATTAACTGCTCATCAGATGTATCATTGGTGAATATCTTCTCCCATTTAGTAGGATGTTTTTTTGTTTTGTTGATGGTTTCTTTCACTGTGCAGAATCTTTTTAGTTTGATGTAGTCCCATTTGTTTATTTTTCTTTTGTTTTCTCTGCTCAAGAAGACATATCCAAAAAGTTATTGCTAAGAGTGATGTCAGAGGGTTTACTGCCTGTGTTTTCTTCCAGGAGTTTTGTGGTTTCAGATCTCACATTTAAGTCTTTATTTTGAGTTTATTTTTGTATGTCAAAGAAAGTGGTCCAATTTCATTTTTTTCATGTATCTGTCCAGTTTTCCCTGCATCACTTATTGAAAATACTGTCTTTACTTCATTATTTATCCTTGCCTTCAGTAATTGACCATTTTCTTATGCCTGCCAAATTATACTTTTAAAAAATAAAATAGTACTCATCTATAATAATAAAAGCATAATATGCTAATTAGACTGGACATCCTTCCGGACATCCTTCCAGACGAAGCTGGGCTGCGAGGGAAGCCCGGGTCCCGGGTGCCAGCCAGCGGCTGGAGGGAAGCCCGGGTCCCGGGTGCAAGAGTGAAGTTGGTGCTGGCAGCCAGGGGAAGGAAGGCCTACTCTTGCATGAATTTTGTGCATCGGGCCTCTAGTATAAATATAAAGTTAATATGTATCAAATGTTTTATTCAATTTATTAATTACTGAGGAAAAAAGTAAAATAGTAAAGCTAGTTCAAAGAGCACTTGAAGAGTTGTGTATTCATAGATAATTTAATAAAGGAATTTTTAAAATAAGATTGCCTGGTTAGTTACAAACTGGCTAATATCCCACAGACCAATAAACCCTGACCTTTGGAAGTTTGTCTTATACCTGACGGAAATGATTTACAACTTTACTGGACAAAATCTATAAGTTAACTTAAAACTTTAGTTAATCTGGATATTTAATTCAATCTATATATATAAAAGCCTAAGCGGCATTTATGGCAGACTGACTGGTCAACCAGTCACTGTGATGCACACTGACCACCAGGAGGCAGACGTTCAATGCAGGAGCTTCCCCCTGGTTGTCAGTGTGCTCCCACAGCCAACCTCCCACAGCCCCACTCCTCCCCCCGCCGCAGTCCCTCTCCCCTGCCAGCCAGCCCCACCTGCCCCCCGATAGGCCCCAATCAATGGCCAGGCCAAGGGACCCTACCCATGCACAAATTTGTGCACCAGACCTCTAGTCCTATCTAATAAAGAGGGAATATACTAATTGACCCTCACGCCATCACAAAGATGGTGGCACCCACAGCCAGTAAGGAGTGAATATGCTAATTGACTGCCACACCCTCAAAGATGGCAGTCCCCACAGCCACAAGATGGTGGCGCCCAGTCCCCTCAGCCCTGCCAGGGTGGCAGGCACATGACAAGGCCGGGCCCGCCCATAGGCAGGCCCGGCCTTGCCGCACGCCTACCTCTGGAGTCCCCCAGTCCCCTCAGCCCCCCAGCCACCCAGGGCCGACCCAAGGCACAGGTAACCAGGGCTGGCTGAGGCTTGCGCTGCCAGCAGTGGCAGTAGCAGAGGTGTGATGGGGGTGTCGCCTTCCCCTGATTGCCGGGTCACCTCCCGCCGCTGAGGGCTCCCGGACTGTGAGAGGGGGCAGGCTGGGCTGAGGGACCCCCCCCTCCAGTGCATGAATTTTCATGCGCCAGGCCTCTAGTAGTAAATAAAATAATTGAGCAAAGTACTTTCCCCTAAGTAATTAAATAACCTCTGAGTGGGTCTGTGTCCCATTGAAAGGACATGCTGTGCACCTTTTGGCCTTATACCCAAGTTTTGGATAACCTTTCTTAACAGCCTCTCGGTATTCATTTGTTTTATCTACAGAGTTAGAGCAAAGTATTTTCCCCTCAGAAGTGTCATATGCATGAACGGTGTACATTTATGAAACATTGGTTTCTCTATTATAATATCACTAGTGGATTAAATATGTTCCCTCTTTCCCAGTAAAGTGTAGTGAACCACAGAACACAGTGTACAGTGAAACTTGACAGAAGATTAAATTGGCAGAATGAGGTTTTGTATTTTTTAATGTATTATGGACTATTTCTAATAATGTCAGTCAAATGTTCCTAGTTTAATATGCATAGTTCTAGGACTATTAATATACAGTACATCATGTCTCAGATTAATGCATGATTTAGTCTCCAATAAGAAATTGTTAGTTTTCTTTCCCTCAGCTTTGTTTTTAAATTTTATTTAACAGACTTTTAAAGTGGAATAAATGGTAGTTAAATTTAGAAGGTTAACATTTTCCAAAAGGATATCTATGTCGGTTTAGTGGGTTTATGGCTCCATTTTAAAGGTTAATTTTGTTGTTTTTAAATAAGAATTTCTATTTTTGAACAATTTTTAAATATAGGAAAGTTGCAAAGATAGTGCAGACTTTTTTTATGCCTCTCGCCCAGTTTCCCCCATTGGTAACCTCTTATATTGCCAGAGTGCATTTGACAAACCTGAGAATCCAGTGTTAGTACATTACTATTAACTAATCTGTAATTCACCAATTTCCCATCAATGCCTTTTTTCATTTCCAGGATCCAGTTCTGGGTCCCACATTACATTTAGTTGTCACGTTTCCCCCCTCTCTTCTAGTTTGTAACAGTTTCTAAATCATGACTTGCTCAATAAAGAAATTCAAAATTAAAACTATACATATGGACCCTGGCAGTAAACTGAGGGTTAATGATGATTCAACCAAACAACAATCTACTGTACAGCCATTAAAACTGATGATAAAACTTTA